CGGTGAGGTGGTCATGGATGCAGGAGAGAGAGGGGGCCAAAGGGGGCAGAACCAGGCACCAAAACTGGTAGAAAGATGGAAAAGGAGAGCATCTTAGGGGGACAAGAGCAGGATGGGTTACCAAGGAAGAGATATGGATCTGGTCCTGGTTTCTCATGCCCAGCAGAAAACAGAAGCCTGGGATGGGGTCTCTGCCTGGGGCTGGAGAAGGTGTCTCCCCTTCTCCTCATGAGGAGTCTCCAATGACAAACATTCCCAAGAGATCTCAAGCGGCTCTCTGGTGCTGGAAGGGAGGTGCTGTTTCTGTTGGTCATGTCAAGGAACAGCATCCCCCCATGGCCCTGGGCTGCTGCTCCAGCCCTGCTCCCTCCAAGCAGCATCCTTGTGTTGACAAAACCTCTTCCCGTAACAACTGTGGGAAGGAACTTCCAGGAAAGGAGCTCATGGAAAGTGAAGGATAGGCGAGGTACGGATGGGATCACAAAAACCTTCAAACCCAACAGAAAATGGGACCTGTCAGGGAGAGGCTGCCTGAGCCTCCCAGTCCCCAAACAGCCCTTGCAGAGCTGAAAATGCTCATCCTGCCTTGACAAACACCCCAGCACCAAATGTACAGGGATAACTGGGAAAATCCAATCCTGCAAGTGTCCAAGGTCAGGCTGGACACACCTGGGATAGTGAGGGAAAGGGGATTAGAGTCAGGTGATGTTTAAGGTCCCTTCCATGCTGGCCATTCCATGTTTCTATGTTTCTATCCTAGGAGCCTGCCCATGACACTGAAATATGTCTGTGGTGGCTTCCAGTCTCACGCTGAGGACAGGATGGCTCCCTGGCTGCCCCATGTGGGTGTCCTGTGGGGCTGTGGCATGGGCTGTGCACGGGGTTGGATGTTCCCCCAGGGAAGGTGCTAGGGGATCCAGTGGGATGCACAGGGGAGAGACGGGGACCCACGTTCAGAGCACCTAGAGATCTCCGGTGATTTAACATCAGGAGAGCCATGGGACAACAGTGGGCTGGTGAAAACACCTCTGAGTGGGGGACTTGGCAAAACAAAAAGGTTTTGCTTGCTGAGAATAAGCCTGAGCAGATGTCCTGACTGCCAGGTACCACAGAGCTCTGTCCATGCCTCACAATCCTCCTGCCCCGTGTACCGAGAGGATTTTCTCTGGGATGTCTGACAGAGGTGTGCTTCTCAGACTGTCTCTCTAGTCTGGAAGTTCCTTTCTACAGCATATCCAGGGGTGATGATCTCTTGGTCAATAGTTAACAGTGGTGAACCAAGGCAGGAAAACCTAAGGATGCTCGGCATCGGAAGAGGCAGTTCCTCTGTCCCTTCACCACCTTCACCACCTTACTGGCACACACCCCAAACACAGAGCATTTGCTCACCAGAGACACAGGAGGAATGAAAACTTCAGGCTCCATGATCGCGATGAGTTTGGCTGCTCCAAAGCCGCGTACCAGCCTCAGCTTCCCTGGGACGGTGACGAGACCACTCGATGCGTGTGACCTGCCCCTCGCACATACCTTTCCTTTGAGCGCATCCGGCGCAGGCACCGCGGGGCCCCGGCACACCCCGGCAGTGCCGTTTCCTATGACAACGCCGTCAACAGCGCCAGGAGCAGGGTTGGGGTCCGGGGGGCCGGGCAGGTGTGGGGCTCCTTGTAGCTATGGCAAAGGGGTGTTTACTGGTGTGTTTTGCATGTCGGTGTTACCCCCGGGAGAGCTCCCCGCGAGTGTCACAGCAGCGTAAGGCTCTCTGGCATTTCCCCCAGCAACTATGTCAGCGTTTGGGGGAGCTGTGTGTAACCTGCACCTGCCACCGACCGGCTGCAGGAAGCATCCATCCTTCCCGGAGCTGCCACGGCTCCCGGGAGCCCCCCGTGCTAGTACAGGCTGCAGCCACAGGTGCCCTTGCTGCAGCCTTCGTCGTGGGTTTTCCCACCCCGATATTGCACCATGCAGCAAACCACCCTCCCCCCTTTTCCGCACGGGCCCCGCTGTGTGGGCAGCGCTTTCTGCCTTGCCCCTTTCCCGTCACACCGTGCCCGTCTCTGTGCCCTCCTCGCAGCTTCTTCTGACACTTTGCAAGTTCGGGGGAACGCTCCCAGCCCATCCCCGCGGGCGGCTCACGGAGCGCTCCGGCCAAATCACAAAGGGTTTGGATCCCGTTCCCCGGCACGAGTGCCAGGGGCGGGAGATCTTGCCTCACATCTATTCTTTCTAGGTACAAAACACGCATTCAAAAGTCACAGCCGTTTCACTGGCAAGGGCTGGGAGCTGCTCGGAGCCGGCCAACTGCCCCAGTTCTGATTCCCAGCGAGGCCGCTTTCCCAGCCCAGCTCTCTGCATGTTTTGCAGACGCCCGCATCAAGGATGCATCACCCGGCCAGCCCCGCCCGGGGGGCTGCATCCCGAGGGCCACATCACGGCCCGAGGCTGCTGGAGCCGCTGCAAAGCTGCCGATCTCCGCATCCATCTGCTCCCGCGTCGCTCCTCTGGAGCGGGGAGCTCTTGTTTAACGACCGCGTGTGTTTTCACTCAAGCATTACATCACCTGGCAACGCCAGCGGGACGGACGGACGGACGGACGGACGACGGACGGGGCCAGCCCGGCTGCGCTGTCCCTGCCGATGCTCGTCCCCTGTCCCGTGCCCGCAGCCCTTTGCCCTGTGCAGGTGAATAGAAAATCCGCCTCCATGCGGAGCCCACCGAGGGGCTCCTGCACAGCCTCCCCTCCCCACCTCCTCGGCGTGTCCCAGCGCCGGGTGTGGAGGGCAAAACGCTCCGTGTTTCCACTTCCCGGAATTCCTGCGGCCGTAGCCATCAGCACTTTCCCTAAAATAAAGTGGGAGCTGAGATAAGCCAGACAGGCAGGCTCCGGAGGGCCGGAACCGAGCGTGGATTGAGCTCACACTTCTTTAAGTGGGCGGCCAGGTCCGGCCTTCGCACCTCGCGCAGCCGGAGAGGAACCGGGTGGATTTGGTGATAATTGGCTGCCAATTTCCGCATCGGTGGAAGGAGTGTGGGGAATGGGGGGAATGATGCCAGGGAACCCTGCGGGAACGGGGTGCAGACAGGGTATTTTCGTGCACGTGCTCCCACTCCCAGCACATTGGGGTCACGAGGAGTCAGGTACTGGGATAAGCAGCATCTCAAACCCTTGGCACGTGAGAAAGGGGCAGTGTTGGACTTGCAGTGGAGAGGGTGATTTTGCATTCCTTGTGCTTCATCCACACAGCAGATTCTCATTCACATCCACACAGATTCTTCCCTTCTACTGTGGCCCACCTGCAGTGCTCTATCCACCTTTGGGATCTCCAGCATAAGAAGGATGTGGAGCTGCTGGAGTAAGTCCAGAGGAGCCCACAGAGATCCTCCAAGGGCTGGAGCCCCTCTGCCAGGCTGCTTACCTGGAGAGAGAGAAGGCTTCTCCAGGGGTGCTCACCTGGAGAGGAGAAGGCTTCAGGGAGAGCTCAGAGCCCCTTGCAGGGCCTACTGAGGCTCCAGGAGAGCTGGAGAGGGAATGGGGACAAGGGATGGAGGGACTGGCTTCATATTGACAGAGAGGAGTGAAAGATTAGATGTTGGGAAGAAATTCTTCTCTGCGAGAGTGCTGAGGCCCTGGCACAGGATGCCCAGAGCAGCTGTGGCTGCCCCTGGATCCCTGGCAGTGCCCAAGGCCAGGCTGGATGGGGCTTGGAGCAGCCTGGGATAGTGGAAGGTGACCCTGGCCATGGCAGAGATGTGAAACAGGATGGTCTTGAAGGTCCCTTCCAACTCCAACCTTTCCATGATGCTGTGACTGATCCCACCATTTAACTCACTGCTGCCCCAGCTGCTCCCCAAGTCCTGTCCAGAGACACCCCCCGAGAAGGAGGATGAGGAGTTCAGTGGGGACACGCAGGGCCCGGGCTTGGGCTCGAGGCTGGAGGAACCCGGAGCCCCTGAAGGGGCTGGGGGTGGAAGTGGCTCAGCTGCCAGACTCCCCCTCATGCCCGGCTCTGGGGGTCGCGGAGGCCGCGTGTCCATCACCAGCCCCGGCCGAGCCGGGCTCTGCGTGTCCCCAGGGCACCCCTGGAAGGGAGGGGACCCTCGGGGCCGGGCTGCACGTTTTCCTGCAAAATGCCCGGTTTTCCCGTCCAGCCAGCGGCCGCACACCCCGCGCCCGCCACCTAACGGCCACCGCCGGCGGACACCGGGATCGGCACCGGGATCCGGCACCGGGATCCGGCACCGGGATCCGGCACCGGCGCTGGGGTCGGGGCACTGGCAGCGGGACCCGGGTGTTGGGCACCGGTACCGGGATCCTGGCACCGGGATCTGTACACTGGCACTGGAACCCGGGCACCGGCACCTGACACCGGGATCCGGGCACCTGGCATTAACACCGGGATCCGGAGGCTGGGCAACGGTACTGGCACGGTCACCGAGATTCGGACTCCGTGCACGGGGCACTGGCACCGGGCACGGTAGCGGGCATCGGGCCGATTCCATCCCTTGTGCCCCGCAGCTGGAGTGGCATCCCCCGAATTCCCGCCTGCATCCCCGGACACCCCCATCCCTTCACCCCGCCGGTCCCCACCTGCCCCCCAGTCCCCCTTCGGGCCGATGCCACCTGGGTTGCGAAATGCCCTGGTGTCACCGGGGATGCGAGACCACTCAGGTGCCCGTCGCGATGCGACACACATCCATCACCCTAAGCCCCCGTGGTCCCCATGCCGGTGGGCACAGCCCCCCCGTCCTCCCCCACTGCCTGCCTTGGCAGCTGCCCCCCTCTTCCAGCTTTTTTGGCAGAGACGCTCCGGCTTGGAGAGAGCAGCGAAGAATTAAAAAAAAAAAAAAAAAAAAAAAAAAAAAAACCCTCCCCGAGCAGCCAGCCCAATCGGCGGGAGAGGCTCGTGTGTGTTTGGCCTTTCCTCATGACGTAGTGTCCTGTGCCTCTCCCCCCCCGCTCCCTCTCCTTTTCCCCTCCCTCCTCGCCCCCCTCCCCTTCCCCTCGCATCCTTGGAAGCAACAATTAAGCAGCTCTGGGATAAAACACACAGCCCGCGGGAGCACGGGGGCATTGCTTCAAGAGATGGCAAGGCAGGCAGCTGCACCCCTCCTCCCCGGAGTCCTCCTCCTCCTCTCCATCCTCCCGGCTACTCAGCAAGGAGGTAAGGAACGGAAGGCGCTTCGCTCCGGTCCTGCGGGGACCCTCCGCGGGCACCGGGGCTGCGACATCCCCATCCTCCGGGCAACCCCTCGCCTGCCCCTTGCCTGCCCCGGCTGCCCAGCCCCGAGCAGGGACAGTCACCCACCTTGCCCTACCTCCCCGAGGGTGGGTGGGCAGGCCCCGGGTGCCACCTCTGCCGAGGGCTCTTTGCTCCCCAAACCGACAGGTGGTTTGTGCCATGCCCGGGTGGGACGGGATGTCACCGAGGGTGGTGACACGGGGCAGTCGGTAATGGCACTGCTGCACCAAGCACTTGTCAAGGGGAGGCTGCGAGGGGTGTCCTGGTGAGAGGCTTGGGGACACCAGAGGTTTGGGGACATGAGAGGTTTGGGGGCATGAAGCCTAGGGAATATGAGAGGCTTGGAGGCACAAAAGGCTCAGGAACGCGCAGGCAGGACACCAGGGGTAACTCCCATGGGACTTAGAAGTGCGAGGGGCCGGGGGAGGTGTCAGCTGTCACCCCGCGGTGCGATGGCAGCCGGAGCTCAGGGCGGTGGGTGGGTGGCAGCATCCCGCAGTCGCTGTGTGCGAGCGGCTGCTCAGTGTGTGGCCGTGACAGCCCCGGGGCTGCTGCAGCTGCAGAGCGGCTCGACCCACCCCAACCGCGGGCTGGGGGTGCCAGGGGGCCCTCACACCGCCCTCATCGCCCTTGTGCCGCCAGCGTCGGGTCCCTGTCCCAACGCGGTCCCAGCTCTGTATGACAGCTCAGCCCAGGCTCACGCAGGTGTGGCACACGCAGCCGGGGCAGGCAGGTGACAGTCCAGCGCAGGGCTCTGTGTCCCAGCCGTGTGACACAGCCCGGCCAGCGCAGCTGATGCCTGCCCGGTGACCAGCCCCTGTCTCGGCGTCAGACTGGGAGCTGAGCTCCCACCCAGGCGGGGAGAACAGCTGAGCACAGATTCAGAGCCCCCACTGAAGCGGCCAAACTGGGCAGGGGGCTTTGAGGAGGCGACAGCACCACCAGGGAGGGGACAGTCACCTCCGGAGAGCCGGGTGATTGTGATGGGCAGAGCCACCATCGGCCACGAGATCGGTGCCGGGGTTGTCGTGCAGGGCTTGTTGGACAGAGAGGATTGAGGACTGAAGGAGGAGAGGGGGCAGGATACTGTGGGCAGTGCCAGGGCTGGATGGGCATCAGGGCAGCCACAGCCACCTGTCACCAAGGGCACAGCCCTCAGCAGCTCCATCTGCCCGTGCCCTGCAGCTGACGGACGCCAGCCTCGGGGTGGCCCCGGCTGCACAGGCAGTGGGACCCCAGAGCCTGGAGCTGCCTGGGAAGTTGAGCTGCTGTTGGTGCCTAATCCTGCTCAGGGTGCTCGATGGGATGTGCTCAGTCCTGGGCACTCTCCACCTCTGGCAGTGAGAGAGATGTGGCTTGCTGGTCCCGGCTGGCTTTGTTCTGACCCTTCAAGCCATGGCCAGCCGGGACCGTCTCTGGGGGAATTTGGACCCTGGGTAAGACCCTGCAGCAGTTCCCGAGCAGTTTGGGACTGTTGGCCCCACTCCGGGCCCCGGCTCAGTCCCCAGGGGTGTTTGCTGGTTTGGGAAGCAGCTCACAGAAGAGGTGAGCTGACCCTGCAGATGGTCCCAGTGCTGGTGGGACAGGCTCTCCCATGGAGGACTGAGCAGTGCCTCTGCAGCCTCACCCCTGCTCCTGCCAAGCCAGCCCTTGGGGACAGGGCTGGCACAGAGGCATGGTGGCATGGTGAGGGGGGATCCCGGGGTGCTGGGGATGGTCAGGGCCATGTTCTCCAGCACCAGCTGCCAGTGCAGCTCCAAATCAGCCTGGCAGGAGAGGGAACCCTGAGACATCCCAGGGTTGTGGGATTCATACCCAGGCTGTCATCTCAGAGAAGTGGAAAGGGGCTGAGCTGGCAGCACTCAGGAAACCCCTAGCAGCAGGTCAGGATCAGCCCCTGGGGAGCAGAGCTGTGCTGGCACTCTGGGGATCTTCTTACAGGTCACTGCAGGGGGAAGGTGCTGTGATTCCCTAAAGGTGCCAAGTGCAGCCTGTTCCAGCATCTGGATCAGGGCATCCATCTCTCAGTGTTCCATCCATCCCTCAGTGCTTGCTGTGTGGAGCACAGGGGATCTCCCAGCAGTGACACCCCCAGGAGGGATAAGAGGGGCCCTGGGGAGGTCCCAGCCGTGCAGGCTCTGGGCCCACAGGGAGCAGCTCGAGTGGGTGCAGAGGGGCAGGCACTGGGTATGGTAGCACCCAGCCTGGGTCTCTGGGGACCCTCTGAGGATACCCAGGGTCCCCAGGATGGGGCTGGATGGCATCTCCCCTTCCCAAGCGGACCCTGGCCTGCAGGGCTGCTCCCTCCCCTCACAGCTGGCAGGGTGCAGCTTGCCCGCCAGCGCTCGGAGATGAAAGCTGGAGCTTCAGGGGGGCTGGAGAGGAGCCAGGCCCCGGCAGCAGCCCCCCCGCTCCCCCGAGCTGCTACCAGCGAGCTCGGCCCGGGATGCAGCACAGCTTCAAAGTCGCTTGGAGACTGAATGTTTCCATAACTTTCTCCCAAGAAAAAGAAAACAGCGGAATGAGGGAAGAGGGGAAATGTTGGTGGTTTTGCACTGAGGCTCCTCCGGGTGCCCATGGGCGCAGAGGGGGGGTGAGGTATGAGGCTGTCCTGTGCTGGATTCTCCGTCCTGGCCTTGGTCTCAAAACCTATGGAATAGAGAAATCCTCTGCATTTCTGCCTTGTGAAGGGAGCTGCAAGCATTGGTGCAGATAGAAATGGTGCAGCCTATCCAAACAGGATCGGAAGCAGCTCTGGCAGTGGAACAGCGTGGATATCCACACCTGTGGATGGAGCTGTGGGGGGAAAATGCCCCATTCCCATAAACAAGGAGACTCCACACCAGATCCTGAGCGCCTCCATGGCTCACACCTTGACACAGCTGGGGCTGCACAAGTGGCTGTGAATTCTCTGGCCCCTGGATTGAGAAGCTGTCCCTGGGGTGGGATGCAGGCTCACAGCCAGCCCAGCCCTGGAGACAGGCTGGGAGCCCAGGAAAATCCCCTTCCCAGGGTCCTGGCAGGCTCAGAGCAGAGGCAGCACAGAGCTCCTTCAGCGCTGGGAAGCTGCTGACTCAGTCTCCCCTCCCCTGATGTGCCAAGGGAATGAGTGGAGAGGACAAATGGGAGCACACAGACCCCAGACTGGGCTGGGGGCTGCTGGCCCTGAGGCTGGGCAAGGACAGAGATGGCCAGAGAGTGATGGCCAGAGCCCAGCGTGGTCACGGTGTCACCAGTGTGTGGGCTGTCACCAACACCTGTGCTTGGTGGTGCTGCCAGGGGGAGGGACTAGAGGTGCTGGGGGGATCTGGAGAGACCCCCCAGCAGTGCCTGCACCAGGGAACAGCCCCAGGCTGGGGGGAGCTTGTGAAGGGGAGCAGTGCAGATCTGGCTGTGCCTGGCAGCAGAGCTGGTCAGGAAGAGCTCCTGAGGGAAAGGTTTGTCCCCCTAAAGCCACACGGCACCACCACCCAGCCACCCATCCCGCTGCCTCCGGGCCATCCCATCTCCTCCTGCCAGGCCTTGCTGACCTGCCCCCCGCCCACCTCCTGGTCTGGGCAGGAGCAGCAGATAGACCAGCACAGCCTCTGCAATCCTCCCAAATACGTCCAGGCACAGAGCTCTGTCTCTGGAATGGTGCCTGGGGAGGGGACAGTGGCAGTGTCACCACAGTGGGACCCTCCTGGCAGGACCCTCAGTGCCTCAGGACGGTGGTGATGATGATGGTAAAGGGATGAATTTGGCAGCTGTGGCTAAATTCAGGTGACACCTGGACATTTCTGTGATCCCCACACTGCAGGGATGCTGTGAGAAATCCTTGTCCTAGCTTCCTTGGGAGTCTCCAGCAGTGGCACAGGGTGACAGAGGGGTAAGGAAGGTCAGTCCGGGTCACCCCAGCACCAGGGACCTTACCTAGTTTTGGGGGGCTGAGGCCGGGGAGTATGATGGGAGCTGAGCAGCCCCTCCCGGGTGGGGACAGTCCCTGGCTGTGCCACGGGGTACCCGGCCGTGCCCGGCACTGGCTCCCAGCGGCAGCAGGGCTGGGAGGGAGAACTGGCGCTGAGCGGACGCTTGGAGTTTGTTGGGAAACAAGGCAGGAGCTGGAGTTGTGTTTTTCCAGGCTGGGGGGGGCGGTGTGGGCGGGGAATGTGCCGGGAAAAGGAGCCGTTCTGTCACCCCCTGGCCGGGGCCGGGCCGTGCCAGAGAGCTGAGCACGGGTCCCCTCCTGTCCCAGGGACACTGGCGGCACCTCGGGAGGGGCTATAGGGGAGCGCAGGCCTGGGGCTGTGCGATGGGTCCTGGCACGGCTCCTCCCCCTGCTTGCTGCATCCCCAGGGATGTCCTGTCCTGCCACCGAGCTCCAGCATCTCCTGAGCACGCACAGCCCGACACCCCTGTCACACACGGGGGTGTCCTGACACCCCACTGCGTCCCTCTGGGGGGCTGGGCATCTCTGCCAGGTGCCCAGGGTGGAAAGGGCACGTGAGCAGGGCCCAGGGGACACCCTCATCCCTGCCACTGGTGGGGCACAGTGTGGGGTACGCCCCCAGAGCTTGCCCCACATATGCGATGGAGATGTGCAGCACAATGTGCTCTACTGTGCTGTCCCAGCCCTGCCAGCTGCCTGCCCACCCTGGGTGCTGGCACTGCCCTGCCAGCCCCTGGGCATTGCCCAGCCCGTGCTGGTGCTTCCAGGGCTGCACCCACTTCCTGGGCCGGGGGAGGCCACTGCAGTTCCTCAGGTCCCAGCCAGCCCCCACAGGGTCTCCAGTGCCCCCTGAAGTCCATCCCCTGTGGCAGTGCAGACACCAGGGCTGGCTGCAGCTCCTCACGGGGACTGTGGCCACGGCAGCCCCCCCACACCCTCCTGGCAGCCCCCCTGCCTTGCTCTGCCCTGCCAACCCCACCATACCCCCTCCCCACTGCCAGAAGAGGAGCTTCCCTCTGCACTGCAGCCCCCTCGTGTCCCCAGCCCACCTGCAAGTCCCCAGCCCACCCACGGCCCTGGTGGAGCTGGGGGGCCAGCCGGGGGGGGCAGCCTGGTGGCCTGCAGCAGACATGTGGCACTGCCAGCATACAAAACAGCCAAAAAACTTTCTTGTGGCCTCTGAGCATGAGCTGAGATGCCCTGGGAAGTGCTGGAATGTGGGTGGTGGCCTTAGTGTCACACAGACAGGCAGGGGGACACTGGGGGGTTCCATGGGTCTCAGCAGTGTCCCCCCAGTCTGTCACCCCTGTGCCTGAGCTAGCTGTTCCCATTGGCACCTCGGCAGACAGGACACACCCAAGGATCCTTGGGGAAGCCCCAGAGGATGCTCAGGTGTGGCTGGGCCCATCAGGGACTGTGGGGATGGACTGGGACAGCCCCATGTTCCTGGCCATGCCCAGACCCATCTCCCAGATCCACGTGAGGCTGCAGAGGATAGAGACAGCCCTGGCTGTGGGATGAGGCAGGATCTGGGAAGCAGAGCTGGACAGCAGCCAGCCCCATGTCCCTCCCTCCTTCCCCATGCAGGCCAGGTCCTGCTGACACCTGGGTCCCAGCTGGGGCACTCCGAGCCCTGCCACCACTGTAACCCCTGGCAAACAGGGATGCAAGGGAAGGCAGGGACCTGCCCTTGAGCTCCACATCCCAACTTCTCTGCAGGGAGCAGCAGGGGAACCAGGAGGAGCCCCCTGCCTCCCTGCCTGGATCTCTGGGGGGATTTTAACAAGGGTCTCTTCTCTTGCAGGGGTTCCTGGTGCTATCCCGGGAGGGGGAGTCCCAGGAGGAGGCTTTTTCCCAGGTAAGGGGGCCCAGGCACCTTTGGGAGGGGGCACCTGCAAGGACGGTCAGGTCCCTGGGGGGTCCTTGAATGCCTTTGAGACACCATGGAAGGCTGAGGACCTGCCAGCCAGGATCAGGTGACATGGAGACATCTTGTCTGGCTGCTCAGCATGGGCTCAGCATCAGCCCCACAGTGCTGGGACACAACTGGGTGGCAGTGCCAGGTTTACCCTGGGGGCCTCTTGCCCAGGGCTGGCACCTACACCCTGCCCAGCCCTGGCCACAGGAGGTGCTCAGAGGTCAGAGCCTGTCCCCAGATTTTCAGCTAAAATCCTGGGGACATGTCAGGGGGGATGGCCCATCCCCTGACCCCCGTGTGACCCTCCCCACTTCCCCAGGGACCCTCGGGAGCCTGGCTGGGTGCTGGGTGCTCCCAGGGCAGTGCTCAGACTGTGCCCTTGCTTGCAGGTGCTGGAGTTGGAGGTTTGGGAGCAGGTGAGTGCTGGGACCCCCTGGCAGGCTGTGCTGGGCTGGGGAGAGGGCCAGGATGCCCAGTAGATGTGCCTTGTTTGGACAGGGGGTCTGCCACGAGGCTGGCCCTGTCCCACGTGTGCCCTGCCCGGGCATGCTGAGAGGGAGGATGGCTCTGACCCCTCTCCCTCCACTCATCTCCCCTAGGACTCGGGGCTGCAGGAAAACCTCCCAAACCAGGTAAGAAGCCTTTCCCTGGCTCTCACCACCTCCAGGCCAGTGGCTGGGACATTTCTCAACCACTGCTGCCCTCATGCTGCTTCCCCGTGGCCAAGGCACACCCAGCCCTGCCCTGCCACACTAATCCTGCCACAGCCTCTGGGAGCTTCCCTCCCACACCCCGCTTCGGCGCTGCCCTCTGCCCCCAGCCCCCCAAACCACGCTTTGGGGGTGCTTGCTGCCTGTAAAGCTGCACCAGAGCTGCGGGAGGAGATGCAAAGCAGGAGCCAGTGTCCTGGTGGGAAGCTGGCAGTGCCTCCACCTGCCTGCCATTGGAGCCAAGCAGCTTTTGCAGAGGCTCCTGCAGCCCACGCTGGGCTTTGCCTGGCCTAGGAATGCTGGGGAGAGGGGACATCACCAGGAGAGAGGGCAGATGCTGCCAGGAGGATGTGCTGCTGGAGGACACCGGGCCTGGGGCAGCAGGGACTGAACATGCAGCACCTGGGGCCAAGGGAAATCATGGAATCATAGAATGGCCTGAGTTGGAAGGGACCTTAAAGCTCATCTCAACCCACTCCCTGCCATGGGCAGGGACACCTTCCACTGTCCCAGGCTGCTCCAAGCCCTGTCCAACCTGGCCTTGGGCACTGCCAGGGATGGGGCAGTCACAGCTGCTCTGGGCATCCTGTGCCCGGGCCTCACGACCTCCAGAGCAGAGAATTCCCTCCTAACAATGAACCTAAATCTCTCCTCTCTTGGTTCAAACCACTCCCCCTTGTCCTGGCACTCTCTGCCCGGTGCCTTGATCCCCATGGAGAGATGCTGCTTCAGGCAGACCCGGGGGTCCCCTCCGTGCCCACCCCAGGGGTCCCCGCTGTGCCCCGGGCAGAGGTGCCCCACGCCCCCGGCCCCCCGAGCTGGCCCGGCCACGCAGTGGGAGCTGCAGCCCGAGGCGGGGGCCGACAGCCTCCGTTTGCTCAGATTTCAGCTCGTGGAAAGAAAAACAAGGCCCTTTATTTCGGCATAATTAAAACCAAACGCGGGGCGGCTGCAAGGCCCAGGCGGAGCGGTGTCCGCGCCCGGAGCCAGCGGCTCCGGAATTTGCGCCTGGAGGGAGCGAGGGCTGATGAGCCCCAGATGTTGGAAGGCAGCGCTGGCCGGAGACCCAGGGACTCATTCCTCAGCCATAAACATTTCGGTTCTGTCCCCTTGTGGCCCGGCAGGATGGGGGTGGGTGAGGCAGAAGGATGGAATGGAGGACCCAAGTGCTGGCGAGGACATGTGTCACCATCCTTGTGCCCGTCCCTGGGCTCTTCTCCCATCCCCACGGTGCCACAGGAACCCCTCTGTCCTTGGCCTCTCCCCACCTCACCCCCCTTCTCTTCCTAGGGGTCGGAGGACTTGGGGGGGTCGGAGGACTTGGGGGACTTGGTCCCCTTGGCCTGCAGCCAGGTGAGCACTGACCACTGTCCCCCCCTGCTCCGGGCCATCCCCTGGGTGATGTTCCCAGAGACCCACCTTGGGGACAGCACATCCCTTATCCCCATCTCCACAGCTCTCCAGAGCGTGCTGGGTGGCTCCCATCCGGGCTGGGTGCCCTTCCCAGACCTGAGGGACCACAGCCACCCAACAGGCAGCCCTGAGGGCCCTGAGCATGATGACATCAACGACAGTGGGATGACCCCGCAGGAGAGGAGGCACCTGGGGTCCCTGCAGGGCTGGCAGCAGAGGGACAGTGCCTGCAGGGGGTCAGCCAGGGCCTCCAGGGGTGTCAGCACCCACTGCAGGAGTGTCAGGCATTGTGTGTGCCAGGTGGGATGTGGATGGGAGCGTGAATTTGGGGGATGCAGGACAGGGCAGTGCCTGCTAACGCCACCTTGCCCAGCCTAACGCCAGCCCTGGCACTGCCACGCAGCCCTGGCACTGCCACGCAGCCCTGGCACAGCCACAGCTCACCGGCCCCGTGCCCACCGCGAGGAGAGGACACCCTCTTGGCAGCTGTTTTTTGGGGTGCTGATGCTGGCTGTTCTCCCCACAGGTGCTGCGGGTCTGTTCCCCGGAGCTGCCTTCCCTGGGGGGGTGTTCCCGGGAGCCGCCTCGGCTGCGGCGCTCAAGGCTGCTGCAAAAGCTGGTGAGTGCTGGGGGGGTCTGGGCAAGGTGGGCCCGGGGCTCAGGCAGCCCCCAGGAACTCCTGGTGTCCCCTGGGCGTCTGGGCCAGGACAGATTTCCCCTGGAGCTCGGGCTGCAGGCAGGAGCTGATGCTCTCACTGGGCTCCCCAGTGACTCAGAGGGTCCCAGGCACGGGGAATTGGCCAAACCTGAGCCCCCAGGAGCACAGACCACAGAACTGCCTGGTCCCTGTGCCCAGTATGGGGGACCCACCCCTGGGACCTCCTCACGGTATCCCCTTCACCCCCTAAGGGCCATCCTGAGTTTGCCCCTTCTCTGGCACCGTTGCAGCCAGCCACAGGTACACCCCTCTTCCCAATGCCCCCAGGTGCTGGCATTGGAGGCGTGGGTGGAATTGGTGGTCCTGGTGGCCTCGGGGTCTCCACAGGTAGGAAATACCCCTCGCTCCCAGCAGAGCCGAGCCTGGGGCAGAGCTGTCCCCGGGGTGGGCAGGAGCCGGGCCGGGGCTCAGGGGTCTCTGCTGCCCGCAGGTGCCGTGGTACCGGGCGCGGTGCAGCCCGGCCTTGGCGCGGCAGGGAAACCCCCTAAAATACCAGGTAGGTGACGGCCCCGGCGTCGGGGCCGGGGCGGGGAGCGATTCTATCCGGCCCCTCATCCCTGAATTTCTTTTGCCTGCAGGTGCTGGGATTCCTGGAGCTTTTCCAGGCGGCGTGCTCCCTGGCGCAGGTGAGCTGGGGGTGCCCACCCCACCTCAGCACCGCAACTCCGAGGGGGTCCCCACCCTGCTGGCGGCACCCCAACTCCGAGCGGGTCCTTGCCCAGTGCCAGCACCCCTGTGGGAGAGCACCCTGGCCTGCTGCCTGCCTGTGTCCTGCTGCTCCCCACAGCTTCCAAACCCCTTGGCTGAGGCTACAGTGACATTTCCACCCTGCCAAAGGCACAGGGGGACCCGGCACCTCCATCCCATGCCAAGCTTGGCGGGAGCAGGCAGCACCAGCACTGGGAGAGGAGCTGGCACAGCCACCAGGGCTGGCACGAGGGAAGGAGGGGGAGGAGGTGGCGGGAGAGAGGAATTCCTCAGTGCAAAGTAATTTGGGGGAGGAAAACTTGTGAAAACAAGATGTTTCGACACTGTCCGAAGCATGTTGCTGGTCAGGAATGTCTTTTCCATGTCTGAAAATGTTCGAGTTATAATGAAAGACACTTGTAAGAGGGGAAAAAGAACCCCAAACCAAAAGGAAATTCAAAACCCAAAAATCCAACCCAAATGATTCCAAGGCACTGTCTGCTGCCCTGGACGGCTCGAGAGCCCTGTCTGGCCCCAGGCCACTGAGCATCAGCAAGGCAGAGAGCACTGCCGAGGCCTGGCTTTGCTGTCACCAGCGGGACCCCTCTTGAGTGCCATATTCCCTGCAGGCTCCCAGACTGTTCCACAGGCAGCTCCAGGCCTGGAGCAAACCCCTCCTGGCAGCTGGAGGTGCAGGCAGCTGGCACAGGGTGGTGCCAGCAAGCCCCCAAGGATGAGGGTGCCATGGGTGACAGGGATTTGGAAGCTGGGTGTGGGGGTCTTGGGTACCAGTAACATCCCCAGTGAGGCCCCAGCTCACCCCTCCGGTCTCTGCTTCAGGTGTTCGCTTCCCTGGCGTGGGAGTACTGCCTGGAGTCCCCACTGGAGCTGGAGTCAAACCTAAAGCCCCAGGTAGGTCCCCTCATCCCCTTGGAACATTGGGGTTGGTTCAGGGCTGGCTCCAGCTCGGCATCCCAGCCCAGCCTTTGGGATCAGAGCCCTACAGGCCATTTGGCAGTGAAGCCAACCTACGGCTGAATCCACTTAGGTTAATTTGGGCCTCCAGGAGCAGCCCAGGGCTCACATAGGTGTCTTTGTGTTTCCTTTTAGGAGCTGGAGCCTTTGGAGGAATCCCTGGTGAGTGTCCCATCTCTCTTGCCTGTTTTTCTCTTCCTTCCCAAGCCTCTTCCTCACAGCCATGGTCTCCCCACACCAGAAGATGCCTCAGGGCTTCCCAAGCCACCCACTCTCCTCTGCCGGGGTGCCCTGGAGCACTCCCCTCCCTCTGGGACTGGTGGCAGCTGTGGCGCGGGCTCCAGGTGAGAGTCTGCTGTTGGTTTGCAGGACTGGGAGGTTTTGGAGGTCAGCAGCCCGGTGTCCCTCTGGGTTATCCCATCAAAGCTCCTAAGCTCCCAGGTAAGCTCCACAGCCAGCAGTGTGGCTTCACTGTGGGTGAAGGAACCCCAGCAGTCAGGAGAAGGACCCGCCGTTCCCCAGGGATGAGGCACGGTGCCCACAGGTCCCCTGGATCTGGCAGTGCCTGTGCTGGCCCAGGGACAGCAGGACAGAGCCTGGGGCTCTGCTGTGCCCTCCTGTGGCACCCCACGGGCAGCTCCTGGGGTGATGCCTCTGTTCTTGCCCCCCGCTCATGTGGATGATGCTGAACCTCCCTCCAGCTGTTGTAAGGTAGGAAGGGTCACGTTCTGGGGACACACCTGGGCCAGACCACCCTGGGATGTCCCTGCCAGCTCCTGCTGTCACAAGGCACATCCCTTGCAGGGACAGTCTGGTTTCTGTGGCTCCTGGGGTTGGGTGAGGCATTCACCTGGGTCAGGTGTCCTGGCTCAAGGCACTGTAGCTGAGGCTACAGTGTGGGGCTCCAGGCAGATCTCTGTCCCCAGTGCCCACCTGGACAGGGCTCAGCCCCAGCCCAGGTCAGCCTGGGGGAGCTCAGCACCCCTTTCCCAGCCTGGATTGCTCTGGGCATCTTCCCCTCCCAGTCCTGTGCCAGGTGCCAGCTCTGCCTGTCCCCAGGCAGCCGTGCCCACGGAGGGACAGTGGCAAGTTCTGTGGCCTCCAGGGGCCATGCTGCCAGCTGGCTGCTCCCCAGTGCATCCCGAGGAGGAGGGCAGCCCCATCCAGGCAGGGCCCCCATCCCTGGCGTGCTGGGGAGTGCATTGGAGGTCCGCAGGCATTGCCCCGTGTACCCAAACAAGTTGCTGGAGGCAGGAGAGCCTCAGCAAGAGGGGGCCACCCCAGGAGGCACATCCCAGCACATCCCAGCCCAGCTCCAGCCCCAGCAGCTCTGCTGGCTTCCCCCCAGCAGGGCCCGTGGCCACAAGCAGCAGCAGGGATCCTGGCCCACTCCTGTTTCCCGCAGTGGAACAGAGTTATGATCCTTAAGGAGACTCGGCCCTGCTGCCTGTGGACCTCGTCTAGGTCCCAGCCCCAGGATAGGGACCAGGACCATGGAGGTGTCTCCAGACCTTCCTGGGGTGCTGGGGGATGCCAGTTTGTCACCTCCGAGGGCTCAGGGCTGGCAGAACAAGGACAGACTGTGCTGCTGGCTGTGGAAGCTCTTGCCTTGATGCTGTGGGTGGATCCGGGGCTGCCACACGTGGGCTGTCCCCTGCCCTGTCCCAGCTGCAGTAGGTCCAGGCTGAGAGGGGAAGAGAGGACAGTGGGACAAACAATATTTTCAGTGGAGAATCATCTCTTTAGATGACTTTCTCCTGGACTGCCCCCACTCAGGAGGTGGCCCTGGGGTCACCCACCTCACTGGAGGCTCAGTCTGAAGCTGTGGCTGAGGTCAGGGTCCCATTGATGCTGTAGGGATGGGGATCACTCCCCAGTGTCCAGCTATGTTTGGGTGACATCGGTTTGTGCAGAGCCCCACTGTGTGCAGGGCCTGAGCCCCCCTGGCAGTGCTGGTGACATTCCCATGGACACAGCCCCAGGGCAAGGGCTGCCTTCCCATCCAGCTGGGGGTGGTGGGGAGCTGGACTTGGACCCAGCAAAACCCTTGGAGACCCAAGGCCCAATTGGACTTTTGGCCCTTGGAGTCACCTCCATGCGTGTCACCCCTTTCCCAGCTTTAGGGTGAGCAAGGTGCTGATAAGGTGCCCCTGGATAGGCAAGGGTGGCCCTCAAGGTGGGGGACACCTGGCACAGCTCACTGTGAACATCTGCCCGCCAGCACCACTGTGCTGATGTGGGACAACATGGGATTGCCTGGCAGGATGGAGGGAAATCTGGTCCCCACATGCTGGCTGCTGGGAGGGGATGGAGTCCAGTGCTCAAGGAGATGCTGTGCCATGAGTAATTCCATCCTGGCTGCAGGCAGCCACATTCCCACCCATGGCCTCCTTGTTGGAGGCACCCCCCACCCTGTGCAGCTCGAGGTGTCTCCCCCCGGGAATGTGACAGCCCATCGCCTCGGGCTGTTGCCAGCAGTGATGGGAGATGGGAACTGCTGGCTGCCAAGCCCACGGTCCCTGCTGAGTCAGGGGCATCCCCGCCATTCCAAGTGCTGGGATCCGGCTCTTTCACAAGGAGATGTTTCCCTGGCTGTGATGTCCCAGCTCATAATCCCTCCCCATCCCTTCACACCGACCTCCTAGCGAGGTCACGTTTCAACCGAGGCTCCCAAACCCTGATTCCAATTAAAACCTTTCCTTCGTGGCTGGCCGGGGTGCAGCCAGCTGGGTACAGCTCTTGCCGCGGGGCTCCCGCGGGACCCCTCGCTGGAGCGGGGTCATGGGAGGCTCCTGCAGAACAGCTTCAGGCGCCACAGCCCTCGGCCTGGACTCAGAGGGGGCGGCTCTTTCAGTCACTGCTTCTAAGGTGAGGGAGAACAGCATCTCCTGGCCCAGCTCCAGCATGGGGGTTTGTATCCCAGAGGATTCACTATCACAATGGACGGAGCCCCTGGGCTGGTGCTGCAGGGCCCTGGCAGAGCGGGGCCACGCCATGGGGCAGAGGGGACAGGGCCAGCAGCAGCCAGGTGCTAACTCCCCCTTCTCTCCTCTCCTCTCCTCTTGTCCCCAGGTGGCTATGGACTGCCCTACACCAATGGTAAGCTGCTCCATGGTGAGTGCTTGTGTCCTCACTCCTCGCGGCTCCACTGACCTCGTGGTTGCCACCGTGACCTTGTGGCCACGGACCCTCGGGAGGGTGTGAGAGATATGCTGATCCCAGGGTGAGGGGGTCCATTGGGGACCTCGTGCCTTGCTCATGTTGGCTCTGGACCAGCCTGGGAACTCAACTCTCCTGGCATTCCTGGGAGCTGTTAATCCATAGGATACGTCCTGAGCCACTCCAGCTTCAGGCAGGGATGTTTGAACTGGGATCTCAAGTGAGCAGGAGCTGGCTTTGGCATCCCCTTGCATGCTCTGGCGCCAGGGGCAGGAGATCCAAGGGGGCTGCTCCGTCTGTCTCGTTGTCCTTCCCCTGGCCCGTGCCTGACGTGACTCTGCCGCTGTGCTGTGATTGCAGGCCTCAGGCCCGGCGGGATAGGAGCCGGCCTCCTGGCAGGAAAGGCAGGATACCCCACCGGGACAGGTACACTGGACCCCGCAGCCGCAGGGTGGGGAGTGGCACGGGCATGGCAGGGGAGGGCGCACCCTGTCACCTTGCTGGCCGCGGGACGGGTGCTGGGCAGGGACAGCCCGGAGAGAGCAACACCTCCCACAGGAGAGGGGGACGGGTGCTGGCAGGAGTGCCAGGTCCCCAGGGTCCCTTTGGGGTGGGGGAGCTGAGGTGGGAATGGTCCCAGGACCTCGGTGGCTCAGTGCCCGTGTCCCTCCGCAGGGGTAGGAGCACAGGCAGCAGCAGCGAAGGCAGCAGCGAAACTTGGTAAGTCGCCCTCTGCGGCACAAACACCACCCATCTCCCCAGCAGAGAGCTGCTCCCTGTCCCCCCGCCCTCCATCCATCCCTCCCAGCCCCAGGGTGCTGGCTGTGTCCCCGTGTCCCCGCTGACCGTGCTGTCCCTCGCGGCAGGAGCCGGTGTCTTGCCCGGTGTTGGCGGCATCCCGGGAGTTGCACCTGGTGTCGGCATCGGCGGTGTCCCAGGAGTTGGAGGTGAGGCGATGAGAGGGCTCTGCCCTGGGGCTCGGGGAGGGTTTCCTTCCCTTATCCCACAACCCTGACTCTCTCCCGCTATCCCGGCAGTCGGAGGACCGGCAGCGGCGGCAGCAGCGGCAAAGGCAGCGGCAAAGGCGGGAGCTTTTGGTGAGTTCCTGCTGCCTCGGACACATCTCGGGACAGGGAAGAGCCGTGCATCGATGCCAGGGGCTGTGCGGCTCCAAAGCTGCCCCAGCAGTCCCTACCCCATTCTATGGGTTACTCTCCCTGCCCCCTGTCCCGGCTCCAGCAACTTTTCCAGCAGTGATGAAGGCCTGGTGGGCCCCTCGGGATGCAGAAGCCTGGCAGGGGGCAGAACATGCCCATCGCATGCAGTCTCTCCATGAGATGTGGGTTTGCTGTGCCCGGTGCCAGCAGGGTGGCCTGGACTCGGTGTCTGTGTCAAGCTGTTCTTCCCTAGTGGGGGATGCTCCTGGTGATGCAGATCTCTGCTGCTTTCCCCTTGGCTGTTCCAGGGGAGAAAAGTGAGGAGCACATCAAACACTGGAGCATTTAGGGAAAATGTGCCAGCCTGGAGGGATCTTCCAGACTGCCTTTTGGAAATGAACAATTAGTACAAATTTATGGCTTAGGTCTAGTCTGAATTCTAGGATTTTGTGCAAAATCTGTTTAGCAGACCTTACAAAAGTTCTGCCACCCAAGGGTTCAGTGTTGCTGCCATTAGGGCAGGGATTCCTGGCAGAGGGGCCCTTGCCCAGGGTCACTGTCCTCCCAACTGTGGTGGAATTGGTGGGATGGTGGGATCCATCAGGTATAACCACTCTCAAGCAGCTTGCTGGAGAGGAGGGACATGGCCAAACAGCACAGACACCATGAGCTTGTGCACATGGAGGAGGCAGAACAGGCCCTGAGGTTCCATGCAGGACTGCCTTCCATGTGCTGCTCCAAAAGGCAGAGCCAGCAGTTGGCACCTAGCCAGGTCCCAGGACCTTCACCTCCATCTTCATTGCAGATCCCTGGGAGTCACCAGGAGGAGCCATGGTCAATGGCAGCTCTCCTTTGAGGGTTAAACCACTGATGTCCACCCCTTCTTTGATGTCTTTTTCACAATTTGTAATAAAAATACCTCCATTGGCTCCATCGGCAGGGCTGGACTTTCTCCCTCTCCAGGGTTCTTCCAGGCTGCCTTTCGGAAATGAACAATGAGCCCCAAATAATGGATTTAGATTTAACTGAATTATTAGATTTTGCACCAAATCAATTTCCAGCAGTTGATCTCTTGCAGGATCTGCTACCCAAGGATTCAGTGTTGCTGCCATTATGGCAGAGATTCCTGGCAGAGTGGCCACTGCCAGGGTTACTGTCATCCTAAATGCAGTGGGATGGTACAGCGGAACTCCTCTCTAGGGTCACTGTCCTCCAAACTGTGATGGAATGTTGGGTTCAATCAAGTGCATCCAGCTGGGTCTAGCAAGACCTAGGTGTCCAGCAGCCATAACCACCCCTAGCTGGAGCTTGTGCACATGGAGGAGGGAGAACTGGCCTTGAGGTTCCATGCAGGACTGGCTTCCGTGTGCTGCTCCAAAAGGCAGAGCCAGCAAGGGTCACTGCCCTGCAAAACCTGGTGGGAACCTGGAATGCATCCCACCAGGTCTAGCAGAGAGACAGAAATGATCCCTCTCCTGCCCTGCTTGGGTCTCTCCTTGAAGTGGCTGTGTATGATTTGCTCTCCTGACCACAAATGCAAGACACAGCCAGAAGAGGCCCTACCTTTCAGCTGTTGCTGCAGCCAGATCTGACTTCTCCCATCTGGCTCCCTGCAGGAGCTGGCGTTCCTGGAATCGCTGGCGTTCCTGGTGTTCCTGGAGTTCCCGGTGTCCCTGGTGTGCCTGGGGTTCCTGGTGCTGTGCCCGGTGTTGGAGGTGAGCAGATGGGCTGTCAGCAGCTGCCGATGGGATGCTGGCCTCAGCAGTACCCTGACTGTGTCCCTTGTGTCCCCACAGTGGGTGGCCCGGCAGCAGCGGCCGCAGCCAAGGCTGCAGCGAAAGCAGCGGCGATTGGTGAGTCACCACTGTCACCACCGTCACCATCGGCTGTCCCAGGGAGGGAGGAGGTGTGTTAGCACACAGGAGAGGTGGGGACACCCCGGTGCTGTGGAGGTCAGTGGGATTCCTGCTGTGGAGTCTGCCCCCCTCGGACACATCCCTGAACCTCTCTGCAGGAGCAGGACGTGTTCCCGGAGTGGGTGTTCCCGGAGTGGGTGTGCCAGGTGGTGGTGTGCCCGGTCTGGTGCCTGGGGTCGGCGTTCCAGGTGAGATCGTGCCCAAGGGGTGCTTGGATGTCCCCAGCAGCGCTGGCGGGACGCGTTCATGACCCTCTCACTCCCTGTCCCCCAGGAGGTCCGGCAGCCGCTGCCAAATCAGCCGCCAAAGCAGCCAAGTACGGTAAGCCGGGATCTCTCTGGGGTTATCCCACATGTCCTGTCTCCTGCTCATCCCCACTCCAGGCTGCTCCCCTGCTGGGGCTGAGGCCCAGCAGTGCCTGGGGTCCCTGGGGGTCGGGGTGAGGGATGAGCTCCTGAATGCGGGATGAGGTTCTGGCTGTGTCAGGGTTGCTCTCCAGAGAGCTGAGCCTTGTGGAATGTCCGAGTTCACCACCTTTGCATACTTTGGTCCATCCATACCCCATTCTGCCCACCCAGCCACACGACCACCACCTCACTGTCCATCTGTCCCCTTCTCTGTCCATCCATCTGTACCTCTTCCACTCATCTGTTCAGTCACTCCACATATCCATCTACCTATCCACATACCCGTCTCACCATCCCTTCAACCATTAGTGCACCACATCATCCCTCCATTCATCCATCCCACCATCCATTCAACTACTCCCCATTCACACACATATCTATCTCACCACCCCTCCATCCATCTGTCCATCTGGCCATCCCACCATCCATGTGTCCATCTCAGTATCCATTCATTCATCCATCTCACCATCCATCCAACCATTCATCCATCCTATCATTTCAACCACTACCTCATCCAGCCACATATTCACCTCATAATCCATTCACCAACTCACCCCCCCACCCCCCCAGCCTGCCATGCCTTCTCATCCAACTCCTTCTACCACGGTTCCTCCTGAGCTGAAGCCCCAGTCCTTCTCTTTCTCCTTGCAGGAGCAGGTGGCCTGGTTCCTGGTGTGGGTGGCCTGGCTCCTGGAGTGGGTGGCCTGGTTCCTGGAGTAGGTGGCCTGGTTCCTGGTGTTGGAGGTGTCCCAGGTGAGGAGGAGGAAGGGCAAGGGTGAGGGCAGCCTGGCTGGTGTGGGGGCAGTTCTGGGGGCAGGACAGGCTTGAGGAGAACCTCAGCAGTGTCCCCTGGGGGGCTGCAGACAAGGCCTGAGGGATGGGCTCTGCCCAGGTTTGCTGTGAGGCCTCCCCAGCGTCTGACCCCCCCCCTTGCTGTCTCTGCCCAGGTGTTGGAGGTCCAGCAGCAGCGGCCAAAGCAGCAGCCAAGGCAGCCAAATTCGGTGAGTGAGACCGGGGAGCCCCTCAGGCTCCCTGCCAGCCCTGGTGTGGCACTGACCAGTGCAGGGGATGCTGGGCACCCAGGCCTGGCACATCCTCCCACACGAGCACGGGGATCATGCCTGCTGCTTCACCCCTCTCTCCGCAGGTGCTGGGGTTGGAGGGGTGCCAGGGGTGGTGCCTGGCGTAGGTGGAGTGCCCGGAGTGGCACCCGGCGTTGGTGGTGTGCCAGGCTTGGTGCCAGGGGTGGGAGTACCTGGAACTGGCATCCTTCCCGGGGCAGGTAGGTGCTTTGTCCGGCCCTGCTTGGGGACAGTGGTGGCTGGGAATGCTAAAAGCCACCAAGCCACATGAAGGGGTGGCAGGGAGGGATGCGGGTGGGGTGGAGGGTGGTGGCACATAAGAGCGGTGTGGGGGTGACTGTCCTAACCGTGGTGTCCTCACTCACTTTGCAGGCATCCCCCAAGTAGGGGTGCAACCTGGTGCTAAACCTCCCAAATTCGGTACGTACCCTTGCCCCCTGCCCCAGGGCCACCTCGGATGTCCCTGGGCACCCTTCTCCTGTGGCCATCGGGGTGCTGACCTCTCTTCCTGTCCCCTGCGTGCCCACTTTGCCCTGATGGCTCAGGCATGGGAAGTGGTGTGCTGTCACTCATGGGTGCAAAGTGCCACCTGTACCCCCTGCCCTGGACTCGCTGAGGACACTTTTCTCCTTCGTGTGTCATGCAGGGGCTGAAGCCCCTCTGGGTACTGTGAGATGGGTGCTGGGGACTCCCAGCGTGGGTGCCAGTGCCACCCCAGCAGGTTGGGCAGTGGCTGGGGGTGCTCCGAGCCGGGGGTGCCAGGCTGTGGGGGGACAGGTGTTAATGGCATCTCTCTGGCAGGTGTTCCTGGGGTTGGAGTCCCAGGAGTTGGTGGCCTCCCAGGTAAGTGCTGGCAGGAGTTGAGCCCAGGCAGTGGGGATGTGCAGGCAGAGGGATACTCCCCTAGAGGGATGGAGCTGGAGGGATGCTCCCTTTGGGCATGGAGGGAGCAGAGCTGCCCGAGAAATGATGAGCACACTTGGGAGTGGGTGAGGAGCGGGTCAGACACTGGGGACACTGTCTGTCCCTGCTGGTGCTCACCCTGGCTACTCCTTGTAGGTGGCCTTGGAGTCGGTGGGCTTGGAGTTGGTGGCCTCGGTGAGTGATGCTGGTCCCAGCGTGGGGCTCCCCAGGGCTGGGCTGCAGGGAGCAGCAGCAGCAGCAGCAGAGTGCTGGCCGAGCCATGAAGAGGAAAGGGAGTCTGTGGGTCACTTCTGTCCCCTCCCAGTCTCACAGCACAATCCCACCCTGCACTGTCACTGTCCCCTGTCCTGTTTGTCATCTGCCCTGTTCTCAGAGGGTGATCCAAAGGGATTGCCATTGTTCAGCAGGGACTGAGGGCCATAGCCCCAGCCTTGCCCATGCCATGGGAACAGGGGATGGTACTGCACCCTGTCCCCAACATGTGGAGATGCAGGTCCCTCCTAGGACCCTCTGGGGCCCTCCTGAAGGGTCTGGGTGCAGCCCTGGGGCAGTGAGTCCGGGCAGGGGCTGCACTGGTGCCCCCCTCTGACTTAGGACTCTTGTATCCAGGAGCTGCTGGGAAACCTCCCAAGCTAGGTAAGGGACAGCGAGAGGGGCTGGAGGAGTGACTCCAGTCCCTGTCCCCATCCACATTCCTATGGCTGTGCTCACGCTCCCCACCCTCACTGGGGCTCACCCACCTGCAGGTTTTGCTGCTGGGGGGGCTGCAGCCAGGTGAATGCTGCAGTTTGGGGCTGGTGTGTGAGTGTGTCCCCTATCCTGCCACACTCGTCCCTGCTTGCTGTCCCCACGCTGCTGCCATTCCCTGCTGGGCACATGGCTGCCTGGGAGAGCACTGGGAAGCCAGAGAAGTGCCAGGGTGGGGACGGCGGCTTTTGCATCAGCTCGTGTCCCTGGAGTAAGCAAGGGATCCCAGCCAGGCTGTCCCCAGTCCACGCTAGAGTGGCACTGCTGTCACCGGCTGTCACGGGCTGTTGCTTTCTCCCCAGGCGCTGGAGTTCCCGGCTTCGGCGTATCACCGGTGTTTCCAGGTACCACCGCCAGCTCAGCACCTGAGCGCACACCCGGGGCCTGTGTCGGTGCCTGGCCAGCTCAGGGGACACGGCCACGGGCCCGGGAGGGACCCCGGGGGCTGGGCTCAGCCGGGGGGGCTGGCCTGGGGGGGCGTGGGGCAGAGAAATGGGGGTGCCCCGTGCATGCTGAGGGCTTCGCTCTCCTTTCAGGTGGGGTCGGCGGCCTGGGATTCGGTGGTGAGTATCCATTCCCGCCGCGGGGTGTTTTGGGGTGGGGGTGCGTATCCCCGCGGGGGTTCCGCTCACCTGCTCTGCCTTCCCGCTGCAGGGAAGCCCCCCAAGCCCTACGGAGGAGCTCTGGGTGCCCTGGGCTTTAGAGGTGAGTGCGGTGCCCCGCTCGCAGGGGCCGGTCGCGCCCCCGCGCCTGTCGCATCCCCGCGGGGCGCTCCTCCTGCAGGGAGTGCAGGGAGGGCTGACCCGCTTCCCCCGGGCAGGCGCGGGCTGCGCGGCAGGGAAGTACTGCGGCAGGAAGCGGAAGTAACGCTCCGTCAGCGATCACCTCATGAACTTTGGTGCTACTGCATGGTCCAGAATGTAAATTCGAAGCAAAGCTGAGACACCCTCTCCTCAAGCCCCGGACCCCCCCGTCCATCCCGGGGCCGCGCCCGGCCCCGCGTTCCCCGGAGGGACCCCGCGTTCCCCGGCAGCGTCCGGCCCCCCCGCCCCTCGGTCCCGGCAGGGAGCGCGGAATAAACTGCGGGGAGCAGCCGTCCCCCTTGGTGCTATCGCTCTCTGCGGGATTTGGGGGGGCTGGGCTGTCGCGCCCCTCCCCAGCCCCAGAGCTGACCCCCGGGGGGGACACAGGATGAGGGGCACCCCACATTGGAGGGAGGGAGGGAGGGAAGGGGATGCCGGCGGCGGGGCTGTGCGGGGAGGGATGGCCCCGTCAGCCTGGCCCCCGCCCCAGTCCCCGCGCTCCCCCCGGTTTGGGGGGGGCCGCGGGCAGGAGGGGATCAGTCCCTTCACGTTGCTCACTTTGCTATAACTGGGTGGGACGCCCTATACAGAGGGGCTCGCTTCTGACAGACTAATAAAGGACAAGTTTTTAAAGGATTCTGGCTCCAACCTCTGTCCATGTCCATGACTCCTCCCCGTGGCGGTGGCAATGATGCAGGGGTTAATCCCAGCCCATGGCACTGCACAAGCCTGGAAACGTGCCGGGTCCTCGCTTCAGGGCTGTTGCTTGTTCCACTGCATGGTCACAGCCCTGGGACACACGGGAGGGGTGAGGGGACAGCTTTGGCCCTCGGGGTTGCCCATGCCTTTCCCCATGGTGACAGCCCAGGGTCCCGGGGGGCGGTCTGTGCCCTGGCCTGAGAGGTGTCGGGGACATCTCTGCCCTGTCCTAGTGTGCCAGCCTCAGAACCCTTGAAAATGTCTGTGCTCTGACTCACAGTGGGAACCTGGGGGTACAGGAGAATGTCTGTGCCTTGGTGACAGCTTGGGGACCAATGGGGCTGTGCCTGCCCTTGGTGACAGCCCAGGGGGCGACATCCATGTGCCATCCCATGGTAATAGTGCGGGGAATGAAGAGGACATCCGTAACCTATCCCACAGTTACAACCCCAGGACCCAGGATGAGGTCCATGCCCTTGCCATGGTGGTGGCCTGGGGATGCAGGGAGATGTCCGTGCTCTATCCCGTGGTGACAACGTGGGGAATGAGAGAGACACCCATGTGAAGCCCCACAGTGACATCCCAGAGCAAATGAGGACACCTGTGTCCTGACCACAGTGAGAGCCTGGAGCACGTGGGGACACCCGTGATGGCCAGTAGTGGGTGTGGCGACAGCCGTGCCCTGGACATGGCGCTGGCCTGGCGTAGCTGGGGACACCGCGGCATGTGGGGACACCTGTGATGGCCAGGGAAGGGTGAGGACAGCCCCATCGCCCCGTGAACTGCGCCTCCCCCGGGCCCGATCGGGCACCCCCAGCCTCGCCCCGCCCCGACCGAGACCATTCATTCCCGGTCCCTCCCGACCACGCCCACCAGGCCACACCCATTATGGACCCGCCCCCTGCCTCGCCCCGCCCAGTCCGCCCCAGCCCCGCCCCGTGCTCCCGCGGCCCC